ATAGGAAGAAAGTAACTGTGGCATCAAGTGTGTTATAACCCCACTAAACAGTATCTTTAAAGAGAGTTATGTGCTTTACTCAACAATCCAACCTCCTGAACCCACTCCAAATACACTACTGCTCAGGAATGGTATGGCAATATGTTTCAGCTCAAAAAACATGGTTTAAAAAATACGATGCCCAACTTTCTGATGCACCTTCTTCATGCCATTACCTCTAGAGTGCCTCTTTTTGTTGGGTTTAGCACCAGGAAACGTTTGAGGAGGTTTTCACAGTCTGTGGACATGTAGAAAGGAATCCTGTATTTCCCCCTTAGCACTCTTTCTCGAAGTTCCTTGATAACAGAAGAAGAACAGACAGTAAGTTGCAAGCAGCAAATCACTTAAAATATTAAACATGCCCAAAATGTTCTTTACCAGAAAAAAAAAAAAAAAAAGCGCACCTTTAAGTTCTGTCCATCGAAGGGAAGAGATCCACTCACGAGAGTATAAAGAATAACACCTAAACTCCAAACATCTACTTCAGGTCCATCATATTTCTTCCCCTGAAAGAGCTCTGGAGCAGCATATGGTGGGCTGCCACAAAAGGTGTCCAGTTTATTTCCGACTGTAAACTCATTGCTAAAACCAAAGTCAGCTATTTTAATGTTCATATCTGCATCTAGCAATAGATTTTCCGCCTGGAAGAGAAAGAATGGTTTTCAAGATGAATAAAACACCTGATTGAGTATGCTCACTGTTTATTTTTACTCAGTCTTACAAGGTAGGAAGCTGAAATAGCTGTTAGCATTCCCTGCCTTGCAAGGTCTTTAGTTATGTTTTAGTCATTCAAATCACTGTACATTGGCTCCAGACTATGGGAGCTGTTCAAACTGAAAACTTACTACCAACTATTTGCTTTCTCCACAGAAAAGCATCTTACATTTTGATCTATTAAGATGAAAACAAGCTATAGTCTCATTAGCCAAACTTTATGGCATGCAGCATTCTTGGAATAGTTTGGGAATAAATATAACCTTTAAACTTTTTTCAAGTGCTCTTTTTTTTGATGGTGGTGGTGTTGCTTTTTGCTTGGTTTTTTTAAAAGTTACAAAGCTATGACAAAGTGAACAAATTATGTAGCAGCACTATTAAGATAAGAGGCATAGTTTGAAGTAGTGAGATGCTGTTTCATGCCAAGCTATGAAGAAGCCACAGTTCAGCTTCATCATCACTACTGGGACTTTATGTTGTTTGAGACTAACACTTGTCACATCTCTTTCTTTCTAAAAAGATCTCCCAGCTAACACTGAGCTGCATCAGCTTTGAACCTGACCATGGGCTGAGAGGTTATCTTCCAGCAGCCATAAGCTACTGTAGTTAAAAGCCTTACAAATCCTCTTCCTTTCATGTGAAATGGTTCTAAACTGTAAACAGTTCTCTAAACTTGCTATAACACGCACAAATAAATAAATCAGAAAGCTCAGCACACACTACATTTTATTGGCACAACAGAGATGACACCCAAAGGCACAGAGGCTGACACACAGATACTGCACACACTTATTCCTACTCACCTTGAGATCTCTATGAACAATATGCTTTTGATGGCAATACTGCACTGCAGATACTATCTGGAGAGAAAACAAGCCCAATTATGTAAGTGACATCTCAAAGAAACAGGAGCTTTAATCAAAGATTTCAACATTTACTACTGAAGTTCACATCTACTTATCCACTCAAAGCTACATAACCAACTACTACAGTGATCAATGTATTGGGGGAAAAGCTGCTAAATAACTTTGGTGTTTGTTATTTGATCTATTTGGTTTCTCCTATACTTGAACCAGGATTTTGTTTTTCCTGTGTGCCTAATTATAGACCAGTAGAAGCAATGACTTTCAGAAAGGTTACTGAAGTATTTCCATTCCAATACTGTATACAGCTAGAAAAGCTTTCCCCCAAGACTGATGCTATCCAGGCCCTCTCCAAAGATGATTTTTCATGCTGTACCATAGAGGGAAAAGAGTAAGAAACAGGCTTTAGCTACTGGGAAACAGCCTGTTTGTCAAATCTTTTGCAGTGAGAAGCAACTAACATGCATCTGACAGTTGTCTAAGTGCATATGGTTTATTGTATTTTGTATACCATAGAACAGTAGAAAGCTCACTGGAAAAAACTCTCCATGACTCTTGAATTTAATGGAGTCATTTCTTCCATCATCATTTCCAAATATCATTATATTTTTCCAGCTTTATATAGCAAACTATATAAGCTATTTACACAGTGCATTGTCTGAGTACATTGCTTCTTGGAGTCATAAGCATTGCTACAGAACTCTGCATGTATGGAAAAGTTGGACAAAGGATTATCCCTAC